GCAGTGTGAGCTAAAAGTGAGAGTGTGTTAGTGTGCCTTCGCATGCTGTCGCTTTCTCGTCGTTTGAACATGTTTTGTTGCTATAAACGACGAAAATCACTAAATTCACTAAAATCACTCAACTGAACTATTGGTGCTTCTTAGTACTCCTACTCATTTCGGTATAACTAATTTGTTTAATGGCTCAATGAGAGAATTGAGCACTACACCAATTCATATCAACAGAGAACTTAGTCATTGTACATGCTCTCGCTTTGTGTGCCGAGCGTAAAATAGTGTTAGTGCATGTGTGTGAATATTCTGCAATGAATAATATCCACTAACACTATTTCTTGTGTTATTCAACCAATTACTTAAAAACACGAATAATTCCAGTTCCCTGATTCAGACAGACAGGCCAAAATCCTAAAAGTTGTTTACTTGGCTTCCGGCGATCTAATAAACCCCCTATTCTTTAATATCTATTATGTACAGATATCGGCCTGTTATAATTTTATTATTTTCAAATACTTTCGTTTTATACCCATATGGCAACATTAAGCTTATCTTATCATTAACTGAATTAAATTTTTAAATAGGTGGCAACGCGCTTCAAAAATATTTTCGTAAGTAACTAATATCTGTATTGCAATATTTCATTTATTTTACCAATTTAAATAAATAAAAATCTTTTAAACTGGTGGCAACCCCCCTAAAAATATTTTCGGCAATAAAATTTCCCAACCTCTTTAGTTTTATGCCAATATTGCAATATTTAATTTATGTTATCAATTAAATTGAATAAAAGTTATCAAACAGGTTGCAACCTTCCACAAAAATATTTTCAGCTGTAAGCCTTGTAAACCTCTTTCTTTTGACAGACATATTGCAATATTTACTTTATTGTATGAATTTACTTAACCCGAATTTTTTATTTTAAACAGATGGCCACTCTCTAATTTTTTCTTTCTATATTGTAAGTTAGACCTCTAGCAATATATCGGTGAAAACTGCATATGAGTGATGCGCGTACAAACATACAGACAGACCGACAGACAGACACAAATTCTAAAAATTGTTAATTTGGCTTCTGTTGCTCTTATAAAGACCACCCATATTAATTTTTCTTTAATTTCTATAATGTACAGACATCGGCTTGTTACAATTTTATTATAAGCATAGATTTCATTTATTTTATCAATTTAATTCAATAAAAATTTTCAAACAGGTGGCAACTTTCCTAAACTTCTTCAGTTTAATACCAATATTGTAATATTCAATTTATCTTATAAATTAAATTAAATTAAAATTTTCAAACAGGTGGCCATCCTCAAAAAATATTTTCGGCAGTGAGCCTTCTTAAACCCCTTTCTTTTGACGCCCATATCACAATATTAACATTTTCTTATCAATTTACTTAATCTAAAATTTTCAAGCAGGTGGCAACTCTCTAATTTTTTTCTTTCTATATTTTAAGTTAGAGCTCTAGCAATACATCGGTGAAAACTGTATTAAATTCCATGCATTAGTTTTCGAGTGATGCGCGTGTAAGTATGTACTTATGTATGAACAATAATAAATATAAATTGGTTTTATTCCTTACATTTTTGCGTTTAAAGTGTGAACTATATAAACAACATTAAA